TGTCTTGATACATTTTTATTAAGAAAAAAGCGATTGCACAATTTGTTTTGCATAATATATGTATACACGAAATTTTGCATAATATATGTTTTCGTCACGATATATCTATAAAAAAATCGTATTTTTTATGTTTGACAAATTGATGATTATTTTATGAGTAATCGTGATTTTCACGCTCCACGTGTATTCACGTAAGTTCGTGTACGAGACGAGGACGAATATGTCACCGAAGTCAGAGAAAGGAGCGAAAACGGAACGACTCGAAACTCTTCGCCGTGTAAATAGGAAGAACATCCATCACGTTTCGTCGATATCGAATATTGTGACCTAAGAACAGCTCGTATAACTCTGTGCTATTTCGACTCGATAAGATTTAAATTGTCAGACAAGCGCGAATAAAATTCGGCTTTAATCGAGAAATAAACATTTAAGAAATTATATCAAATATCACATCAATTAAATATGTACATTAAAATTAAGATACGCTTTAAAATATATTTACAGAAACACTATTAAAAATATAAAAAAAGTCTTTTTGAATGTATTTTAAAGAATATATAATAAATTAAATGTATATAAAATAAAAAATAGAGATGTAAAATAAGATTAAATAAATTAATTTTAAAATAATTATTTTGTAATAAATCTTAGAAACTGCTAGAATAAATAAAGTTTTTAAAATTGATTTTATGAGACTTATCACCTTACTGACAACTGTGTGTGTGTGTGTGTGTGTGTGTGTGTGGGAAAACATCGATGCAAAAAGGAAGGGACTCTTTACGAGCTACGGCAATGACGAGGCGATAAAAAAATATTCCGGAACAAGACTATTAAGCTTTATGAGTGCCGCGTTTTCCCTTGGGCGCAGAGTATAAAAAGAATCATTCAAGTTTTAGAAATAGACATATTCCGCGGACAGTCATCTAACCATTTTGCTGCATTTTGCATTTTGTCAGCTCTATTTCAATTTATCGCATCGTAAATCAAAGCGAACACAAAAAATTACTATTACAACTTAATTATTACATGATTTTCTGCAGAAAAAAATTCTCGTAATCGATCCGCTCAGTCCTTAGAAAATAATGCTGAAAATGTATATTATTAATACGCATATGTAGAGAGTAGTATGTAAGTTTAAAAATTAAAATGCAAATTGCAAAGGGCGATGTTCATAACACTTTAACGTTTGTAGTATAATAATGTCGCGGTCCCTCGTAAAGAAACTATCAAGGGAACTGAGTTTCGTTAGCTACATGGTAAACCTACATAACGAATAAATATTTAATGCTTGTCTTAAAATCCCTACTCAAGCCTCTATTAATATTAATGAAACTATAATATAATCCAAGCTATTAATAAACAAAGAAAACAATTAAATTATTTCTCGAAGAGTAAATATTAATCTTGTATTTCCAATCTAAAAACTTGTTATACATAATAAAACTTAACGATAATGTAATAAATAAAATAAAAATAAAATAAAATAAATGAAATACATATATCGCCTCCAGATACGTCAAAAAACATACCACGATTAAAAATAGTGAAAAAGGGGAACGTTATAAAAAAATATACTTCATAATAATAAGATCTAATCTCCATATGATGCGATTGATCATGAAAAGAAGCAACCGGAAGGTTAATTGAATGCTCGTTATTCAATGCTTCGGAAGCGCGGCGAACAAATACAACTTGAGACCTCTGAGTTAAGTAAGGTGACAGGATAAAGGAAGAAAGATACGACAGCTGGCGACACGCGAGAGATCCTTGCCCGACCTAACCCAACCTGATCAAAAATATTCTATAGGGTTCGACGTCTTTTCACGAGACGTGAGTGTGTAGCAGGATGGCCGCCGCAAAGGAAAAGGTGCTCTTCCGAGGCAGCTGCCGTACTGTGAAAGCGTAACAGTTGTCCAAAAGACGTGCCCTGCTCTGACTCTGCTCTACTCTGCTTCGCCTCTGCTCTACCTCTGCTCTACCTCTGCTCTACCTCTGCTCTACCTCTGCTCTACCCCTGCTCTAATTGACTATTGTCGATCGTCTTGCGCGGCGATGTCGCATTCACGGAGGAAATCCGATGGTGTATCGATCTATCGGGAGCTGGACACGCAAATCCTACAGAAGCCGAAGTCAGGTCAAAGGAACGCGAGGAAATGCATCATTCCGCGTCGTCTCGACGTTCATTGATGATGTTACTTGCAGCGGACCGTTAATCATAATTCGAAAATTGCGGATACACGAAGTAGTTTCAATTATCGTGACGTGTAACACGGAAAAAGATTTCTCTTGATTGATGACGATTGCGCGGAGATATGCGTTTGAACGCTTCGAAGGGGTTTGATCGTGTCGTTCGTTGCCGCGAATTACTGTAACTGTGAACGTAGCTTTATAAGTTCCGATTCTGCGAAAAACGCCGGCAAAGTAACAGGTGGACCTACTGCGAAAACCGGGACTCTCTCCTTTCTACGTCGAATTCATGCGCGTCTCAAACGAGAAACGTGATCAGTAAATTTTATAAATAAGTTGTCAATAAGCTTAAAAGTAAATTTTAGAAGTAAAAAAATGATCATAAGTTGTGATTGTAATATTTCGATTATATCAAAGTTAATACTATTATATGATAAATATGTGCCTTTATGAATTTTAATATAAAATTTGAAAAAAAGTTCTGATTATGAACAGAAAAAGTTTAAATAGAAAAGTATAATTTATCTAAATTAAATTCCAAATAACTTTGATAAAGTTATAATTATAACGTAAATTCCAGAGTAACGAAATTAAAATAATAGTAAATTATTTACATTCAATTTCAATCAGACACGTAATCTAACAGCTATAACTTTAAATTCAAGATAAATTACAAATGTTATAATTGTAAGTCACATTATAAACAAAATAGGAGAAATTTATTCTTATGATCTATTTGAATATTTAACTTCTTTTCTATTGCAATTTTTTTCTATGTGATGCTCTTTAATATAATTTTTATTAAAATATAATACATAACGCTAATAAGAAATTCCATTTGTGTATCCTAAATATCTTGCATCGTATATTTCATTACGTACGATGAGTATGAGAAGATTTTACAAGCGACTCTCTACTGACCTACGATTATAGTTACGACATATTTACATTTTGATGTATGCTATCAGCCATTGCTTAAATAAGATAATACTGAAAGCCTTTCATGATAAATCAAATGCGAAACAATTTAAATAAAGAGAAAATGATAATTTTCCTAAATTATAAATTCTAAGTAATTTGACGTATGCCAAAATTAAAACATTATAGAATACATAATGCAAGAAAACATTTTGCAATTGCAGTCGAAACTGTATACCTATAAAGAGAGCTAAATTATAATAAAAATTATTCTATTTAAAAAACATGACCGATTAATCAATCTAAGCAAAGCATAAATTAAAACGCACAAGTTTATAAAATTATCTCTATTTAAACGAAATTCCAATTTATCACAGATAACCTTGGATATCAGTGTATCGTTCATATATTGATATTTATTATATCCAGAATTCTTGAGAATAATCTTTCGGAGAATGTTTTGATTGCTATAAGTACACACACAATTCCAGAAATTTTATTGGTACAAATTATATAATTTTTAAATATATTTGAAAAATTTAAAATATTTTCTGAAATCTCATAAATTCATCTTTAGACAAGGAAATTTATTAACAAAATTTTTAACACTATAAAACTATGAATGTTATCAACATTATTAAGATGAGTTCTGCTTGTAATGAGAGAACTCAGATTATCTGCAATATCATTTCATGAGCGCGTCAATCAATTAATTAATTTTATTCAACGGAACAATAGCGCGTGGCATTAATTAGTTCACAGACTCTACTTATTTATACCAAGGCCGAAATACGATTCAGTTAAATTATTCGTCAAAATTAAGTCAGAATTTTATAAATCAATGTATGATGAAACATTGTTCTAAATATTCCATATTTAAATAACGTTGTGCAAATTGCAAATGTTATGTTAAAGCTGTGCAGTTGAGTAAAAAGCGTTTACTAATTAATAAAAAAACTCAATGAATATGTTGGTCGTTCGACAAAACGGCTATGAACGCAAGATCGATTCAGGTGTTAACTCTTTGTTATCTCTGTTTTATCATTTCATTTTCGGGCTAAATTTTATCACAGATTCAGCACACCTGAATATATCTCGCAAAAAATTTTCTTATATGATTTCTTATATTATATAATGCGAAAAAAAACTCGATAGATTTACACAAAACTACCTCTGCGACTAATAATTAATCGAATATTAGAATACTTATTCTTTCTTCTTTCTTCCTGGAAGATTTTTACTTTAATTATACACGCGTTGTTTCCGCAATGATTCGATTCAATTTATCTTGTCACAATAAGATGCAAATATCTTAAAGTCAAAGCGATAACGAAGCGAGCTATAGCTTCATTCCCGTTATCGAAAGTAGGTCAGAATTTTATCGCGGCGCGAGGATTTCGTACGCTCGAAACATTTTTGAGACTTAACGAACGTCGCCTTGAGGTTTACTTGCACGGTGTTCGAATGGAAAATGCTAATGAATTCAATGAATTAAATTAATGCATATGTATGCGCCTGAAATATCGCTGATTAATACTCGTATTTTCTAATTTATTTTTAAATGTAATGTGACAAGTGGCTTTATAACAACCGCCGGATATCAAATAACCCTGACGAACTACGTGGCAAATTTCAATAAAATTTTACTAATCGTAATTAACTGCTGGATATCACAGATACGAACAAAATTGTCCTCATATCATTGGCATGTTGCGATAAATAATATTTATCAGTCAAAAATAGTGTTATACGATTCGATAATATAATCATTCCATTTCAAATATACTTTCTGTCGATCTCGCTTTGAATTAGTTTTATAGCGAGAAAAGAGCATTAAAATATTTTTGATTGCAATATTTAAATTTGTCTAATCAATAATTACAATTGGATCCTACCTTATGACTTTCCGCCTGTTGTTAGGATGCAATCGGCGCGCCATCTCCGGATCGACCTCCATTAGTCTTCGGTGCAGTTCCTCGTTGCTATCATCACAAAATCTCGCGTCGAATTTCAACTTCTTCGTCGGCGCCGCTTCATTATCATCATCGCCGTTCTGTCGTTCGACTCGTATATTATATCGATCATCCGATCTGTTCTCGATAGACGCGCTCGGATTGGTCGCGCTTGAATCGGTTTGCACTGACGGACCTTTCGGATCGGCTATAAGAATCTCCCATAGCAGCGATTCTATGTAATAGTTTGTACCGCCGACGACAACGGGCAGTTTCCTCCTGACCAGCAAGTTGTCTATCTGTATCGATAGGAAAAGGAAACACAGAGTGTCGGGATGATCGAGAGCAGGATCGAGCGATCCGCGCGAGAGACCGTGGCTAATGATCGTATCAAGGTCTTCGCGAGGATCAGGGGCGTTCCGATTGGCTTCGTCCAAGATCTTTATTTTACGAAGTCGATTTCGCGCGAATCGAACTGCGAACCCATCGTGATTGCGAGGCCGCGCGCGAGAAACATCCGATCGCAATTATAATCCTTAATACACAACAATAAGTTGATTGTGCCGATCGAGAAACAAAGAGGACGAAGAAAAAAAGTATCACTTTCGACATCTGCGATTCATTAAGCGCTTATTGTACGTTTTTCATTAACACGCTCGGAGAAGGATGATTCACTCGCCCATTAATGATTTTTATCTGCTTACGATAATCTCGATTTTATGAATTCTTTTACCCTTCTCATTATTTTTCGAGAGATGTTACGATTAGCATACGAAGACATATCCTTGCTCATTAAATTAGATAGAATAAACTAGATACAATTAATGTATGCAAATTATTATGGTAATCATTATTATCGCGCTGTGAATTAAATTTTCAGTTCTCTTATAAAATTCACGTGTCAATAAACTCTGAAAATTATGCTCCGGATATCTATACTAACAATAAACTGATGAGCATAATCAATCTTATTATTATATAATTAGTTAGAATAATTGCACCGCGTTAAATCTCCGGGAAAAAAAGATAAAGAGAATTATGTGAAAATTACAATTGGTAAGGCCATGTCCCTGAAGTCGATTACGGAGAAGTTGGTCAGCGGATCGACGACGTCCAGCATGTGATGCGGTGCTGCCTGTCTTTCCGCTGTGGTTACCTTCGCGGTAACAATGTCCAGGCTTTTGTACACCTGCGGACCAGGAGAATTGCCGTAATTAAAAACAAAATAATGAGAAACCGGCGAGATAATGTTACGAAGTAACAAGTAACGACTGATAAATAACGCATGAATGGAAAATTATGACAAATCGAATAATTCCGTTAATTACGACGCTTGTGTGATTCAGGGTCAGAAATAAAATAAAATGCGCCGAATAATACAGACGCGACTGTAGAGTCGTCGGATTGAATCGAATCCTGCAGCATGAAAGTGGAGAAGTGAAAGAAGAAATTTTTATCAAGCTTTCGATAAAAATCTGAATTAACAAATTAACGCGATTTCTTTATTAATTTTATTTGTAATTTTTTAGATGTTTAATAAGACAAATAATATTGTTCAAATGTTATTTATGAGTTTTATCGTCGGTTATTTCGACATTGTTAATAACTTTAATGTACAACGAATGAGTGTAATTTTATATCACACATCTCAAAGTCACAAGTTACAAACGTGTTTTTTTGTACGAGCATCGAGATAGTTTAGTAAAATACAGGGCAAGATTAAGTACTAGTAACATAATCTGATGGAGATTCAAATAGAGAACTACAGTCGGCATTTGTTTGTTCGGATATTTATCAAATTTGTATTTACAAGCGAATTTACGGTAATGATTTCCAATAAAATAATATAAGTTCGAAATGATTAAATCAGATTAGCCCTCCATGCAAAGAAAAATGTTATTACAGTAGAAAACAAATAATGCTTCTTAAATAATGCAAGGAAAGTGTGAAGAATATTTTTAATAAAACCTTAAAATAATGTTTATAATAGTATTGATTATAAACATGATTCAGTGTAGTGCAAAAGCAAAATAGCGAAACAATCCTTCTGTTTCTTTATTGTTTCCTCTCACTATTCAATATAATCCTTAACAATTTTTTTAAATAATCTTTTTGCATTTATAATTTATAATAAACTTCAATCAATATTATTTTTTAAGTAATATCTTAAACTGATGTATTGTCTATTATCATTAAGAAAAATGTTCTATCCACAATTACACTACAAATTTTGCAACTACATATAAAAAATTCTATATAAATATTTATTGCAAAATATATTAATTGGACAACGGTTTATTAGATTCTGGAACGAGCCAAATTTATATCCTGTCTATGAAATGCATGACAAAAAAATAGTAAGGCAATTGCCTTAACCTTCATTCCACTTCACTTGTCAGCGTAAATGGTTCGATCAGAAACCTCATATATCGATTTTGCAGCGATGAAACGTCGAGGAGAAAAGTGTCACGGTGACATAATACACGTACGAAGTTTTGGCAAAGTTCTTAGAGACAGTGATCGGCTGCCGATGGAGCAGCTGCTACTCAAAATTCACTAAGTCTTACTGAGACTGGGTGTCGACTACAAAAACTAGAAGCCGGTGTGAAGATATCAGTAAGAAGGATTATTAATTAATAACGAATTAATGACTCTCTCTTCTCTCTCTCTTCTCTCTCAACCATATATACAATTAAAAAAATAATTCATCGTTAACAGATAATAAATGTTTTGCAATAAAAGTAAAAAATAAAGAAATTAAGAAAAAATTGGTTTCAATTTGCTAATAACTTGCTAATAAAATTGTGCAAGTTATTTGCGCAAATTGAAAAAAAAATTTAATTATTTTATACAAAAAATAACAATAATAGTCCAAGAATCTTTGCATCAACTTCGCCGATTTAATTGATAATCAATCAATTAGCAATTTTTCGCACCAATAATCCCGAAATTTGGAGAAAATGTATACTGTAACACAATTATAATTTTTTCTTCTAAATTCAAGAAGAATCGAGTACATGTCAAGTACGTGCTTGGCGGATCAATAGAGCCTTCAATCACTTTTCTACTTCGTTAATCGCCCGGTTATACCAAACGAAGTTCCTTCAGTGCTGCGTGACTCGCTTACGCAATAGTAAAGAATATAGAAGGAAAGGAAACGAAAGACTGATTGTAAGACTTGTATAACACGTACTCGGAGTAAAAACGAAATCAAACACGTGCTAACACACACTATTTCTAAGAATCATTCGCCAACGTACCAAGACTCCCCAATAGGAATTCTATAATTACTTGATGCGCCTAATGGCGTTTTTTTTGCTGACCAGTCCAATTATTGATAAATTATATCGATTCTTACCGTACAAAAACTCATAATTATCGATTCTATCGATCGTTTTATAAGTAAAATAGCTCTGCATGCATATCATCTTATAATATTATCTTATCCATGACGCAAGTTATTTGAAGTTTAAAGCCGCAGGTGGTAGTGATATCAAGATATTTAAATTGTTCGGAGGTCGACGATTATTTTCGCACGCATCGTAAATTTCACGATGCTTTTATGGCCAAGATTAACACATTTGGCTGTCGTGCAAATGACAATTTGATGAAATATTAAGCACTAAGTCTTTAAAAGGCTTTAAATATTAAGGATTAAAGACTCTTTTTTTAAAGACACCTTCTCTTGAAATAGATAAAAAAAAATTCGATAGAATAAAATCTATCGATTTCGTGAAAAGTTTAATCGGCATGCCTAGCAATCCGTTAGATGTGATGCGTTCGATGAAACAGGTTTCCAAGGTTCCGGTATACGTCGAGGTATCTTGAATGGTTACGTTCACAACCTTCATTAGCCTTCATTCATCAGCCACTTGTCGGACAAATTGTTTTATGTTCAGTTGTATGTTTCAGGAATCGAATAAATGTAGTGATCGATAAGCAATCGAAGAATCGAAATAAAGACCTTTGCAATTAATAATATTCTTACAAATAAACAATTAATTAATTTTATCTATAGAAATAAAGCAATATATATTTAATATAACAATAGATTTAATTAGAGATTTAACACTATATAGATTCAATTACAATAGGTTTAATTAGAGAGAGAGAGAGGGGGAGGGAGAGAGAGAGGGGGGAGAGGAGAGAGAGAGAGAGAGAGAGAGAGAGAGAGAGAGAGAGAGAGAGAGAGAGAGAGAGAGAGAGAGAGAGAGAGATAATAATAGTTACTTATTTAAAATTTCTAACAATAATATTCTATGAACAATAATATTCTATGAACTAAAAATATAATCTTTACGATTTTTATCAAAAATAATAGCTGATAGTTTACTTCATTTTTTGTCACATAAATTTTCACACTTTTAAAAAATAATCTCAAATAAATATAAATGCGTAATTTGATTAGCGTCATCGTTTTTGAACAATGCGAACTAGCGTAAGTTATTTTCATACAAATTTATTGAAATTTCGACCTAACTGGCCAGTACAATTTAATTAGAAACACTACGTTTCGACTCTTAGGTACGGATCCTTTTCAAATGTAACTTTCAAGATGTTGATTCGACAGCAGTAAAATTACTAATGTTAAACCGGAGACAAGTAAATCAATTTAAGTCAAGATTGTGTTTTTAACGTTTGACTTAAATTGATTTACTTGTCTCCGGTTTAACATTAGTAATTTTACTGCTGTCGAATCAACATCTTGAAAGTTACACTTGAAAAGAACCCGTACCTAAGGGTCGAAACGTAGTGTTTCTAATTAAATTGTACTGGCCAGTTAGATTGAAATTTCAATAAATTTGTATGGTTTTACTCATCACTGGCGACTTCATTAATTTTATCGTTATTTAAGTTATTTTCAGTTTCTATATTTTAATTCTTTATATTTTCTAATATTTTAATTTCTATAAAACATATTCAAGCAAAAATATCAAAGAATAAATTAAATTTTTTTTAATATAAATTTAAATATAAAAATTAAATATAAAAAATTTATTAATTTTGTTATTATCATATACGTTTTATAATAAATAAAATTGATAAAATATTTGTTATATATTCGACACAATTTCTGTCCTATAGAGTTTATAGAACATTCTATAAAAAGTAGTATCTAGCAACTTTGAATTCGATACAATAGAAACGAATATGCATGTCATCCCTTCTAAACGTGATTAAAGATGCTATAATTTGATTATTATCTCGAAACTCACTTTCGTGCATTACAGAACGCAGCTTGAAATCCTTCGTAGATCTCGAACATTTTTAACTGACAGATGAATAAGATATCGAACGAGTAAATCGTCATGACGGATTGGCTCTGTTTCACTGGCAATCTTATAAGAGCTCTTATACCTATATGAGATGCTTCTCCTCAAGTTTCAAAATTACATATATTAAATTAAAAATATACAAAATTATATGGATACATGGATATCTTTAAATTTTGATTATAAAACTGAATTAAGTCTCAAATCAGAGAGAATATCTTTTTATTTTTAAACACTTTTAAAAGTACACGACCTCAAAAATTGACGTGCAATGAAATAAAGAATTTCTAATAAAAAATCGGATATTGAAACTTTGAAGAATCAAAAAATAGTCGGCTCTAATTTCGTCAGAATCCAATCACGTAGCTATTACGTAATCACAAATTACTATTGAAGCTATAACTAGCTGGAAGAATTAATCGACAGTTTAAGTAGAGCGGGCGTGAAGGCTTCTCACTTCGAGGTTCAAAGAAGAACGAAATACCATTTATCTTTCTCGTCTCTCTCTTTCTTCCGATCTTATTCATCATTCCATAATCAGTTCGTCAGCGGACAAGTGGCATTCCAGAAGGCGTTGGCGGAAGTCGCGGCCGTTCTGTAGACGAATCTAATTCGAGACTTCAGAAATAGACGAGAAGGAGCGAAGCGGAACCCGAAGAACTTGGAACGTTTTCTTAGACTCAAGGTCGTGAAACCTAGAGAAGTCTGAAGAAGCAGAATGGAGGAGAGAACCACATCGTGTCGGCCAATCGGACGAATCTAACGGTGTCCGATGCGAAAAGGGAAAAGTTCACGCGCCGTGATTTATCGATAACGCTCAAGGAACCCTTTGCTTCACGAAAGACCTCCCAACGCTCGCAACGGCAATTATCGAGGTCGCCGGCAAATTGCGGGATAATTTACGCGAGATTTACCG